TATATATTAAAATACATACAATCCCTAGGCTGTGCCTACAACTAGCTTTAGGATTTTATTGTCGCATTGTACTTGCAGGCCAAAGACCGCATCCAATATTACCAAACAAGAGAGACCTTTATTTTTCCGTATGACCTGGGAAGCAAGTGGAACAACTTCAAGCAAGTGTTCACATGGTCTGGAAACCCAGAGGGCGATGGCTTGGAGTGGCTCACGAAGGAAGGCTGCCATCAGTACAGTTTGACTGTAAGCTACTATTCTTCACCTCCTCCCCCCACTATGAAATTATCTTAACTATAGTGAAAGCTGAGAAATTGTACTCCCGTCTATCTGTCTGTTTGCCCAAAGACACTCAACAGTAACAACAGAAAAATAGAAAATGTAATCCCTAAAGAAAACCCCCCATGCCTCAGTATACATTCAGAGCAGGAAGTTAACAATCTCCAACCTATTTAATGATTCCAGCATAAAAATACCACAGAACTGGGCCAGTCTTAATTCTCCTATACGTATTCTTTTGCAGATAGAGCAACTGAAACAAAAAGCAGACAAGCGAGTGAGAAGTGTAAGTATGTCTGCACTGCTGGTGTTTTAGCATATTGCACTGAAATCTGCCTGGGCTGAATTAATATATTAATATAATTATTTTTTTAAAATGTAAGATAATGGGATTTTGAAGTTAGTTTTCAGTGATATTTTGGGGGAGCATTTTTGCTAGGCATGTGATAGTCTCCTTACAGAATAAAGCATAAGTGTATATTGTACAGGAGGGGTAACTAACTCATGGACTTTCCAGGCCCCCCCAAAGTTTTTTGTGGCCTCCAAGTCTCCCACAATCTTTTTTTTAGTTGACTACTCCTGTGGGTCCCTAGTAGGAACAACACCAGTCGGAAACAGAAGTCTGAGCTCATGTCTCATTTTCAGCATGGATAAGGCACTTTGTAGTCAGCAAGTAGCATCAAGAAATGCATTTTTAACAGAATCTGACAAAACCTTCAGGTGCGGTACCAAGCAATAGAAGACTACAGTGGTGCCTGTTGCCCTCTTACCAAAGGCTTGAGGACGTTCATCACGACTCCATGCACTGAAGAACCAAGAATTTCGCTTCGCAAAGGGGATCAGATTTTAGCCACCAGAGGCTTGAAGTTAGTACTCACTTTGTTATTCAAAGTTCCATTGAAAGATAATCCTGGGGTGAACAGTCTTACCAATTAATTTATTCATTCTCTTTCAGACACTGGATGTATGGAGACAAAATTGACTCGGCAACTGATGGTAATTTTGCATTTGTGTGCATTACACTTTTTAAACTACAGTGTTTCATTTCAATCTTACAATTTAATCCAAAACTGATTTCCCAAATTCATTACTTTTCAATGCTTCCAAACACAAAAAGTGTGAAACAGAACCAGGCCCTGGTTGGAGAAATAGGTGTGGGGGTCTGATACAATTAAAAATTAAACATTTATCTAAACATGAGGCATTCATGTTCTCGAGTTCTAAGGGCAAGGCCTTCCGAAGATAACCTAAGAGTAGCTTGCAAACGGCATGTAAAACCTGCAGAAAAGGAGAATCAGATTGACACAGCATCTACTAGTGACCCAAACAAGAGCAATGTGCTCACCATCCATCTGCTGACACTTACCATATCTAGGCTAGATTTCAGCAGAATATTAACTGCTTGTCCATAAACTGACAAGTGTGTTATTTTGGTTAGAGATTGCTGGACCTCTGTGATTTAGAGAACAGCCAACATCACCTGGAGAGTACCCCATTTGGCTCCCCCTGTTCTGCAATGATTTGGGGAGGTAGGGAAGTAAAGATGTCTGGGAAATGCTATGTTTTATGGCTAATTTCTGCTGTTTTCTCTCACTGCTAGATGGCAACAGAATCAGAGGCTGGTTTCCAAGGAGGTGCGTAGAGAAATGCCTGTATGATTCTGAAACAGATCAGCCATTGGACAAGGAGAAGAAAACAAGATAACCCTTTCCCTGCCTTGCTTTTGGAAACGGAAAGGTTCCTTTTGGACCACTGTCCTTTTACTTGAAATGTTCTGTACATTGTTCGGTTCATAAATCTATAGCAAAGTGTTTTCGTATGTGTGAGTGCTCACAAGGATGGTTCCCCTAGTGCCATAATCTTAAGTACTTTTTGCCATTTATAAAATGGAGAAAGCCATTCCATTAATGCCTTTTGATATTAAAACTTTGCAGGACAGAACATTTGACCTGTCTTCCTTTGTATTTAATTTTAGTGCTGCTCACTTAAAAGTATCTTGTTTTATATTACATTCCATTGGCCTTTCACCCCCACCCTGGAAGCTGGGAAAAACATTTGGTTTAGTGAACGCCAATGCTGGTAAAAGATTTGATATCTAGGATTATTTTAAATTTTGAAATCATGTTGCTTTCCCCCCCCAGAATCACACACACATGTATTATGTATGTATTATTATTCTATGGTGCATAGTGGCAGGTGAGCTTACTGCTAAATTGCTGGAGAATTTTTGCAGTAAATTTTTGTAGTAAAGAGAAAGTTGTATATTTGTCGTGAGCCTAAAGACACAATACCACATTGCATGTGTAGTACCTTCATTAAGTTATTCCTGTTTGCACTGATGGCTGAATGACGTGAAAATTGACTTTAATAGGTTGTATGTTGATGAGAATTAACTAACAATGGGTCATTTGTTCATCTATGTTAAAGCAGGTAGTCTTAACTCAGGACCTCCTTTTCTTCTCTTTCCTATGCCAAATCCTCTGGTTGTCTGAACTTCTTTCTCATAGGCCACGGGCGTTAATTTTTTTCATGAAATTTGTTAGCTGCCCCTCAGCATAGGACAGGTTACAGTTAAAATACGGTAATCAAAGCAATAAAATGCATGGAGAAACAGCAACGCCAATAAAAGCCAACTGAACAACAATGACAGCCATTTTTATAAGATGTTGTAATGTTTGGACAACTAAACTATTCTCTGGTGTCGAAAAGACAAAGTTTATACTAGTGGCGCTTCTCTGGGGGGGGGTGGCATTCTAAGCACAGGGTGCAACAACTGGAAAGGCTCTCAGTGCCCCTTCTAACATCAGATAGTGGGAGAAACAGGAGGACCTCCAGTGAAGGTTGTAAAGTCCCATCAGATTCACATGGGTGTATCTACACACATATCAAAAACATTCTGAAAAACCTTTTTAAAAAAAGTTTTTCAAAATACATTGAATTTTCCATAAGGCTCACCATCTCCATCTAGTGTCACATTGTGTATTGCACTTAAAACACACTTAAAACTTTTTCTTTGCAGCCATGGTAGAAGGTGGTCCTGCAAGCAGCCAAATTCTGAGAGCCAAAGACAACACCCAACACTTTTCTGTAATATTCTGTAATATTCACATTAGCCTTGTTTCGCCATCCTAGGCTTCATCAGTAGAAGAGGTTCATATGTAATATATTACAGGATAGTGGATCTTACGGCATAGTAGTGGTTGCAGTCATGCTATAAGATCCACTACTGATGAAGCCTAGGTTGGCGAAACAAGGCTAATATTCCGGAAAGCCTGGTCTTAGACTCTGTGAAAGGATTCTGTGGAACCCTTCATGTGGATTATTGGACTCTTTGAACCGACTGGTGGAATAGATACTTTTACATGTGTGGACCTTATGCATGAACTGACTAGAGAATGAACTTATCCACTGGATCTTCTGCTTTTTTCATTGAACCTTATGAGACTTCCGTTGAAATCTACAATTCGATACAATGAATAGTATACCTTATTTATTCAAAAGGTTGGATTTTATGGCAACCCCCCTGCAAATTAAATATCCTACCCAGATCACCCACTAACTAATATTACCCAACCAAAAATTGAGACACCTGAATAGCAGATTCCTCATTGCCCATTTCTCATTTCATACTTGTAGAATTTCTAGATGGTGGGTCTAAATTTGGTGGACGTCAGTTCAGGTTCTGAAAGCCCTGCTTAGTCATGTAGTCTAAGCATGTAGAATCATGATAGCTGCTAGTTGTACAGGTGTAGACACTAGTTTTCTCAGTTTTGTTTTGGTCTTCAGGTTAAATGAGCGATTTAATGCAACGACCACTTATCACATATTTAGAAACCAGGATTTCTATGAAGTCTGAAAACTAGAACCAAACTCTCGATACAAGAGAAGTCAGATAGTTGTGGGTTTTTATAAAGACTGGATTACGACTGTAGCAAATCCTTTGTGCTCAACGCTAGGCACATGCAGCATCTACTGTACCAAGAAGAAAACCCACTAAGAGAAAATGAAGCAGCCCTACTGATGGCAAAGAGGATCAATGATACTTCAAAGAATATAGACAAATAGCTCTGATTTGGTGGGAAAGAGGTGCTTTGATAGGAAAAGTTGCAAAGCATCCCTGACAGATCTCGCCTCTATATCCTCCAGCCCCCATTTGTATGCTGTGTTTAATGCCTGTATTTCTCCTCACCCCAGGCTACTGTTACTAGTCTATGCTGCAACAGATCAAAGGTGCTCTAGTTACTCATCTACAGTCCTGTCCCTGAAACCATCTTTGAGCACTTTGCTTTTGGAGTTGCAGAGAGAGCTGGAGCACTTGTAACCAGTAAGAGCCAAGGTCAGATTAATAACCATGCCCTTTGACATTAAAGGTAAAGGTACCTGCCCGTACAGGCCAGTCTTGACAGACTCTGGGGTTGTGCGCCCATCTCACTCAAGAGGCCGGGGGCCAGCGCTGTCTGCAGACACTTCCGGGTCACGTGGCCAGCGTGACAAGCTGCATCTGGCGAGCCAGCCTTTGACATTAAGGGCAACTTAAATCTGTACAGGAAATGAGGCACCAGTCTTGAAAATCCAAGATGTCCCCCTCCCTAACAAAAACAACCAACCCTTAAATTTGGAATAGATTTTATACATGCTTAAGGGAAGTATCCTTCCACGTACTGAGAAATGGATATTTACCTTCATGGAGGTACAAGATGTACTAAGTCAAAAGACACAAATTTCAGAAAGTGCTATCAGTTTATTTTTCACATACATTTTCAGCCAGCAGGAATAGTTTGCGCCTTAGCGGAATTTGGATACCCAGACTTTAAAAAATAGGCATTAAGTACATTTATTGCCAATGAGGCATTTGAGCACCCACCACAGAAGGATGGCATTCATGGCTTTTTCTCCAAAAGCATATACAAAGCTAGAGTAAATGACTGTACAAATCAAGACTATATTACATGGGGCAGAGCCTTTCAGTACGATTAGATTAAGTTAGTGTTTAAGCATACTGGTCCTATACAATCTCATTATGGCCGTTAGAATCATCAATAGTTTTAAGAGACGTCTTAAATACTTTCCCATACTATCTTCCACATACGGCAACTATCATCAAGTTCTTCCCATTTCATTTAGATTTATACAAATCACAAGGGACAACAGTAGTCACTGAGGCAGAAAGGCAGCTTTGCTCTGAATACAAGTCTGGCATGTTCCATTTGAACAACGTAGTATATTACACAAGATTCACCACAACTAGTTGCTACCTTAGCCAAACATGTTTTTCTTTAAAGAGGAAAGGACACTTAGTTGATTCAGGTCCTTCATTTTTCAGCTGTTTAGGGCCTACCAAGTGCTTTCACAGTTCACTGTAAATACAATTAGCTGAGGCTCCCCGCCCCCTAACTACATATTAGCAGCATAGATGGCATCAATTTGACTTCTGAAGAATTTGGATACTTCTGCTCTCTTTGCCTTCAGTGTTGGGGTCAACAGTCCATTTTCAACTGTGAGCATCTCTGGATGGAGGTAGAGATCTTTCACCTGGTTGTGGAGACAATATTTTTGTCATAATCGTGCCTCATGCATTTGTCTGAGGTAGGACAGTTTGCCTTATACTAAGGTTCCCTCTTTACCTTTGAGAAGCTATACTCTCAAGCCCTTGGGATCGAGGAAGTCTGTAGTATTTCCTCAAACAGGCCCCCACCCCTATTTTGTTTTTGTATCAAAAGAGCTAGTTGTTGACAGCCACCGTTTCACAACACACCAAGTGCCCCTTTGCTTAGGAGCAAAGTGCTATAACCATTTGTTACAGTATGGAGCGTATCATGCAGATTTCTGGTGTGATAATTCTTGGCTGTTGGATGCCTGCTCCACATCAATAGAGGCATTGCAGCATATCTCTGGACTTGTCAGAGATCAAAGTTTGAGATAGAAATCTGAACTACATGTCCCAGAATGACAAGATACCTTTGAAACCTCTAGGAAGTCCAGAGACTTATTTATTTATAATTTGCACTTTTACAAATTTCCACAGAAGTCCGGAGATTTAAGACCAACTTATTCCTCCAGTATCTATGACAGACACTCAATTCCTTTTGTAAAGGGGTAAGGGCAGAGCACTATGGAAACACCATGGTGCTGATTTAAATCTTTTTATAAGCCGTTTTATGCATTCAAGCTTCTTTCCAACACAGAGTATGCAGAAACCCGTCTCTCTACTTCTGGAGTTCTGCGTTAAGAGTTCATTCTCTTTGAAGCCACATAGCAGCAATAGCCTTGAACAAACTGCATACTCACTTGTTCAAATGACTTGAGGCCAGCTTCTTTCCCCAACCTGGTTATGTCTGACAGGATAGCTTTTTTCACCACCTAGAAGCAGAAAATATATTGGTAGGATTTAAACCAGCGGGTTTGAAAAACTTAGAAGTTTTATCTTAATGCCTTTAGAGACCAAGACTACATAAATGAAAGCCCATTTCAGACCTGGAAACGATGCAAGTAGTCCCATAGTATCGTAACAGATTTATGTTTACCAGTAACTAACCTATATATGGTAGCAACAAGGTGAAGAACAGAGACTTCCAGAAGCAGGTTACTGGTGTAAGTCACCCCTCTATCCCAGTCAGCATGATCGTGGAATCTTTTTAGCCAATGGTTTTCCCTTTCTACGAATCTTAACTTTATGGAATGAATTCACATTTGTTCTGCAGGAGTATTTTTCAGGAGTCAAATCTCACATTGTGTTTCTTGGAATTTTAATGAGTTCAGTTCTGTGCATTCAGGCTAAGAAAGGCACTAGATTTTAGAAATCTGAGAGGAATGTATAGACCTCAAACACACATTCTTTCCCACCCACAGCTGCCCAATCCGCTGGTTGTTAAAGCCTGACACCATAAAGCAGTTTAATTCTTAAGGAATTTGTGTGGCTGGGTGGTGGAGTGGGAAGAGATCCTCACAGAGCCATGCACTTAACAAGTATTGTGAGCAAAAAATAGAAACAAGGACTATTGCCTCAAAAGCCTTTTAAAAAACCTCAAAGGGAGAGGTTATATGCAAATTAAATACTGCACTCACACAAAATTCACTTCCAGGATTGCTGTCTATTTCTTAACACGCAGTTGTTCACACCTCAGCAAATGTGTGGGTTAAGCTTGAACATGGGGAGTTTTACTAGCACAACTTTCTAATCAAACAGCACACTCAAGATACATACGAAGTTAACATGCAAGTTCAGACATGAAAATGCTGCTAAAGTAAAAACTTTCACTGCAGTGACAAGTAATTATAATAATTGCCTGCTCCTCTCGCTTAACCCACAATACAAGCCTAGGTTTCCAACACACAATTTAGAATAACTGTTCTAATCACATATCCAATTTCCTCCCATCTTGGTTTAAAAGCTACCTTGCTTAAATCTAGTTTAGTAGGCTGTATTGTAGGATTGGGTATACATTAATAATTTTAGCAGGAAGCAGATATTTACAAGTTTATGTGCTATGGCACAAAAGACTCATATATCACCTCATGCAAAACTGCATATCCAAACACCAAGTGAGAGTCAAGAGGCAAACTGGCTCTTTTATTATCGAACTCTGAAATCCAGTTTACAATCAGACAATTTCCCCTTCAAGTTCACCGAATGAACTCTTATCTTCAGTAACTTGGATCTTCACAAAGTGAGAGAAAGGCACTTACTGTATTTTTGCAGAGTTCCTCAAACGAACCTTTAACTCCCAACTTTGCTGCAAACTCTGGAAGGGTCTCTGGATCAGGAACCACCACACTCACCAAGAATGACTGTAGGAAGAATGAACATTCAAACTCCAGAAAAAAATGGGTGTGGGTGTGTTGTATGTACTCGTTCCCAAAGATTTCCACTTGGGCATATTGAGTTCCCTTGGATCTTTGGGCCAAAGGGCCAACATGTCGTGTCATACTATAAAGAAGTCAGCTTTTATGATCATGCAATCCATTAGGTCTTCATTGTGTCCCCGCAAGTCACCCATCTCAGCAGCAGTGTGTGTCTTGACCATTCTGATCGAACTGTCTGGCCCTAGAAACCAGTTAGCACAGTGGCTGAAGATACAGCTCTGAACAGGGCACACTTACCTGTAGGCTATCTCCATGCACAAAGACCTGTGCTACAGGGGCACTTCTGAGGTAGATGTTTTCAATCTTTTCAGGTGCAATATATTCTCCCTGAGCTAGCTTGAAGATGTTCTTTTTTCTGTCAATTATCTTCAATGCACCACTCTGCAGAAAGTACAAAAACAAGTTTGGAGACAGGATTAGAAATCTATCTATATCCCACATTTTTCTCCAAAGAGCTCAAAGTCGTGTACGTGATTCTTCCACTCTTTAGTTAATCTCCACAACAACCCTCTGAGGTAGGTTAGGCTGAGAGGCAGTGATTGGCCCAGCACGCTTCAGGGCAGAGTGGCGATTTGGACTCTGGTCTCCCAGCTCCTAGTCCCACACACTAACCACTACACCACACAGGCCTAAAATTCCCAGAGTGGTTTAATGATCATTCCTTCTTCACAGGGAACTCTGGGAATTGCAGCTATGTGAGGGGAATCGGGATTTCCTAACAACCTTTGGCCCCCATAACAAACCACTGCACCCAGAATTCTTTGTGGAAAGCCATGACTGCTTAAAGTGATATCATAGGGTTTAAAATGCATTATGTAAATGTAGGCCAAGTAGAATGCTTTAAGAATAATGCATCAGTGCCATATTCAGTAATTCAATCTTTGAATGGTGCATTCATAACAAACCCAATCAGTAGCTTTTGGGAGAGTCCTTAGTGCCTCATATCTCCTAATCCACAGTGCACTATATGCAAGAAAGCATGCCCTCTGGCTGTATTATCCACCACCAATTTCACAACTTGTAGTAGAATGCACACTTTGGGGTGTATTAATTAATCTTGCTATTTGAAGGATACATGGGGAATGCTTACTGCTGCAACATACCGAGAGTCACTGAGAAGTTTATCTTATATTATACATCCGATTTGTGTTTGGGTGCCAAGCTTTGCAGGAATAGCTTCCTTATCTTTGCAAGGGAATAATTACTGCAAATCTCATTTTAAACACTTTCAAGTATCTTTTCTAGGAGCCATTTTCTACAGCCAGATGCAGAAAAGCTTGGAGACCAAAATGGAGGCCACTTCTAGGTAATCTGTTTTATTGAGAATTCATCCATGTACAGTGGTACCTTGAGTTAAGAACTTACCGTAATTCGTTCTGGAGGTCCGTTCTTAACCTGAAACTGTTCTTAAGGTACCACTGAGGTACCACTTTAGCTAATGGGGTCTGCCGCGCCGCCGCCAGGCAATTTCTGTTCTCATCCTGAAGCAAAGTTCTTAACCCGAGGTACTATTTCTGGGTTAGCGGAGTCTGTAACTTGAAGCGTCTGTAACCTGAAGCATCTGCAGCCCAAGGTACCACTGTATGCTTGTGGGGAGGTTATAGGATGTCATGTCAAGCAATTGTTATCTCACATTCAAGCATATTTTAGTCCACAGTTTCATTTTGTTAGAAGTGGGTTAGTTGCATCAGAATTCCAAATGGTGCAACCTGGAATTAGCCAGCATACTGTTCTGTGCAAACTAGTCAGCAAGCTGCCTCAGTGACCACCAACTTACCGGCATCCATTTCCCAATGTCCCCAGTATGAAGCCACCCATCTCGGTCAATAGCTTCATCAGTTTTCTCAGGATCCTTCAAGTAACCCTTGAATACATTTGGCCCCTTAATGCAAATCTATAGAAGGCACACAAAAATAGGTGTTAGACCCCATCTATTTTAAACTTCAGCTCCAGAATGCTACATCACAAAAAGGAGCTTACCTCTCCTTCCCCGTTAGCTGCAAGGTAGTTCATTTCAGCAACATCGTCAAGTTTTACAATGTTGCAAGCTAGGGGGGGTCCGACGTGACCTAAAGAAGAACACCCATGCAGAAAATTTAGGTTTTTTTCTCGGTACAATCTTCCCTTCTTTACCTGTCTTGTTTAAAATCACCAAAATTCCATGGAGGTGCATATGAAGAAGGGCAAAAAGTGGCCGTGACCCATTCCTTATTGCTACCACTTACATATCGAAGTAACTGTTAACTTCCATAATCATCTTTTATAGCCTAAACAGTTATAAAAGTCTCTCCCACTTCCACAGCAGAAAAGCAAGCTCTGAATAATCAGATTAGGAGTTGTCTTATCTAACTCATCTTGCCAGTATAGCCCATTCTGCTAGTAAACGGAAGGATAAGTTATATTTAAATGCAGGAGATGCAAAAACCTGTTGTCCCCCCTCCCCCCATATTTATGTGATCAGTTACATAGAAAGAAGAAAGCAGCCGGATGAACTGCAAAGCAGCCAGAGAAGCCAAAGGAAAGCTCCCATCTCCCCCTGGCCCACACAAACACAGAAGATACAACTCATCCAATACTACCTTGCCCATCATAAGATGTTTCTTTAACTCATGCTGGCCATCTATTATACGCAACTATAAGCCAACTGAAGCCCAAGTCATGGTCTTCAGCCACACTCGGAATTTTAAGAAAGCATACCAGTCGTCCAGTCTCCCGGCAATGAAAATGTGCAGCCACCTGTGCACTCTGTTTGGCCATATGCTTCAAAGATCTGTTTTGGAAGACAAATATTTAATTAGATGGTGCCCTTTAGTTCCAGTTCCAGTTTGGATGGGTTTGTTTTACGACAACATGGAGTCTACAGGAACAATTCAATGAACAAGGCAAGTTCTGTCATGACAGAGATCCACTGAAGTCGGTGGTACTTCCTAGGGGCGTTGCTCAGAAGTGGAGCCTATAGGACTGCATTATTTGTGAAATGTTTCCATAATTCCCCCCCCCCCAGTTTAAATACTTTAATGAAATTCATAGATAACATACACAATATACAAAGATGAAAACTATCATGTACTAATAATCTTATATATGTTTACAAAAATTAAATTTAAATTAAATTTATGCAATCTCTTTTTTGCTGACATAGAATAGACTTCCTATCATTTCCCGATGCATATAACCTTTCTGGTGATGAAGGTAAAGGTAAAGGTAAAAAGACCCCTGACAGTTAAGTCCAGTCGCGAACGACTCTGGGGTTGTGCTTTACAGGCCGAGGGAGCCGGCGTTTGTCTGCAGACAGTTTTTCTGGGTCATGTGGCCAGCATGACTAAGCCGCTTCTGGTGCAACGGAACACTGAAAGCAGAGCAGTGCATGGAAATGCCGTTTACCTTCCTGCTGGAGAGATACCTATTTATCTACTTGCTCTGCGTGCTTTCAAATGGCTATGTTGGCAGGAGCTGGGACCAAACAGCAGGAGCTCACCCCGCTGCGGGGCCTTGAACTGCCAACCTTCCAATCGGCAAGTCCAAGCGTCACAGTGGTTTAAACCACAGCACCACCTGTGACTTCCTATCATTTCCCAATGCATATAGCCTTTCTGGTGATGAATGTACTTATTACCTTACCCTTTCTGTACTTTAATACTTTCTTACAACAATTAGTACCTTTTTGCTTGTTTCGTATTCTATAGATCTCTTACATATCCCATTTTTGAATCAATGATTGTCTTGTATTACCTCTTAGTCTGTTAGTCAATTGCACCATTTCCACATATTCCAGTAATTTGCACTGCCAATCTGATAAGGTTGGAACTTTTTCCAAAGTGTTTCCATAATTTTGCCTACAAAATATACACTCACTATTAAAATCAAAATTATGGAAATTATGGAATAGTTTCCATAATTTTGATTTTAATAGCGAGTGTATATTTTGTAGGCAAACGAATTGTTCCATTTTGTTTATTTATTTATGAAGAAGTGTTAATGTGCTTGTTATTTTTGAACTTGTTTTCATGTATTCTCTCATTTTCTGTATATTCCCTTCTTTGTTATTTTTATTCCATGGTTGCCCTTCTCCGGCACTGAAATATTTGATAAAGAGCAGGTTACCACAAAATTTGCACAGTCCACAACTACATTCATGGCTGACCTTCCAATATCAGTTCATCGCCCAACCAACGGCAGCACTTTTCATTTATCAGGTGCCACAGGAATGCCACTAACAGAACCTTCAAGCTAACTCATTTGCTTCCTTGGGGTGGGGTGGAGAAAGCCATGGGGGCTTTGCCCTTACCTGACACCCAAAGGCTGCTCTGAGGAACGTTAGGACAGGTGAAGATATGGGGGCAGCTCCAGTGACTACGATTCGCACCTTCCCACCCAAGATTTCCTGTGGAGAAGGGAAGAGAAGAATGTAAGCACAGGCAACCCCGCAAAAGGTATCGTGGCATTGGTTCTGAAGTCTAAAAAGGGGAGCACGTACCTGAACTTTATTGAAGACTAGCTTGTCCCAGATGCTGGTGTTTCGGATAATGCCTTGCTTCACTTCAGCATGCTTCCTGGCTACAGCAACTTTGAGCAATAACTGCTTGAGGTTTGTTTGGGCACCACTTTGAATCTGCAAGAAATCAGGGCACTGTACTACTAAAGGGGATGTGGGCATCCAGTGACTCCAGGGCTAACCTCTTCATTTCTCGCAACCCCATTTCTCTGCCCTTCCCAAACATCCAGCCATTATGCCCCCTAACTTTAAGATGGATTTTAAAGCCATGATGGGACATGGGAGAGTTTAGGAGAAAGCCCTGTGGCATTTTGGGGTGAGCTTGCCATTTCTGGTTTCAGGATTTGGTGGCGTGGGAACATGGGAGGGTACAAGGATTGCAATTGAACTATTCTATGGAAAATTTAAATAGAAGCATAATATACCCAGTTGCAATTGTACTTAACAGGATTCAAACGGAGGCAGCTTTATATTAGGTACAATGTTTACCTTGTCATAGATCCTGTTGAGCAGTCTTGGCACCACTGGGAAGATAGTCGGCTTCAAAGTTTTCATGTCATCAGTTAGAAATCTAATATCTCCTTGGAAGAACCCCACTTTTGCTCCATTGCTGTACATTACGGTCTAAAAAGTAACCATGGAAGACCTTGAATATACTGCAAAAGGTACTAGGATTGAGACCCCATTCCCTATCTGCCAGTTGAACCTCTGCCCATTAAAACATCTAGATGTCAGTTGCCTCCATTCATTGATCTTTGTGAACACAGGGTATTTATTTAATTAAAAGCTTAATTAAAGAAAAGCTTTTACAGAACATAAAAATGTATTGCTGTAAACTGTTTACAGAGGTGTTTACAGAGGTGTTTCCATGTGTGTACACACACACACACACACACACACACACACACACACTCCACACCTCAAGATCTTGCTTGCAACATTTATCATGATATACAAGCACACCTTGTTGTCACATTAAGCAGGAAGGACCACAATCCTTTTGCCAGATGGGTTGCTTACAGAGCCAGCCAGTGGCTAAGCCACTCACGTGCCACTGTTTAACCTTTTGAAGAGACCCAAGAAGCACCACACAGTTGCTCCGAGTGGCAAGAAGAACTTAGAAAGGGGTTTTACCTGCACTACTCTCTCAAACATGTGAGCTAGAGGAAGGTATGACAGCGATACATCCGATGGCACACAAGGACTTGTCATCTGTAAGAAAAGAAGCAGGCGGTGTCACAATGATGCTCCAGTTCTACAAACATGCAAAAATGTAGAGTTTGATTGTCGGCGGCCTGACCAACCTAAATAGTTAGCTTGGCCTATGCATATGGTCACTTACTTCTATAGTCTTCATGAACGCAGCAGCATTGGCAACAATACTTTCATGTGTTAGCATGGCTCCTTTAGGGTTACCTACACACATAAAAACAAACAAATTTGTAGCTCAAACCAGGAATTTAAGAGCTGAACTACACACTGTTTCAGGCAACCTGAACACCATGAAACAAGAACACTCCTTTCATTATTATTATTTTAAAAAGTATGGACTGCCCTTTTTTACTAAGTGTGCACTCAAAGCAGCTTAAAAAAACACAACTTCATGGTTTAAAAATCATAAAATGCAGCATAAAAATCTACCCCTAGAGATTTCTTTTTGAGAAAGGCATGCAATACTTCTAACCAGGCCAGTTTTAGCTATTACAAATAGCATGCAATCTTTCTATCAGAATAAGAGGTGTAGAGTCAAGTGCCCCCTGAATTTCTGCATCAAATAACCATTTTTGAAGGCCCAGTGAGAAATCTTCAAAATGATGTTAAGTGCTACTTCTCTTTCCTTGCTTCCCTCCCAAATTGTGTGGCAGTCTTATTCTACGAAGAGCTGTCAACAGTTTCACCTCAATACCATCAGTTTTAATAGGATTTGTGTCTCTTCCTCCCTGTAAAAGTATCAAGGGGACACAGAAATTGATCGTTGCCCCCTCTCCACATTCCTTGAGAAGAGTCCAAATTTCACCCTGTGAAACTGAAGTTCCCATTCAGGCAGCATGAAGCAATAAAAATAAAAACCAACAGGAGTTCTTTGCATACTAAAACACTTCAGGAACATATTAAGGCAAAGGTAAAGGGACCCCTGACCATTAGGTCCAGTCGTGACCGACTCTGGGGTTGGGGCGCTTATCTTGCTTAATTGGCCGAGGGAGCCAGCGTATAGCTTCCAGGTCATGTGGCCAGCATGACTAAACCACTTCTGGCAGCAGTTTAGTAATGCACGGAAACGCCGTTTACTTTCCCGCCAGAGCGGTACCTATTTATCTACTTGCACTTTGACGTGCTTTCAAACTGCTAGGTGGGCAGGAACATATTACATGGCATAAATACAAGGATTTGTATGAAAACCCCTCAAATGCTTCTGGCATGAGTGGTTATGGCTGGAGCTTTTTGGGGGGTTTTTTTGTTTCAGTAATTGGATGGGCTCCATTATCTCCAACATTTGAGGTGAGTCTTAAAATCTAAAAATGGGATTAGCGCTTGTCCCTTTTGTCACAAAAGATGGTGCCTATTGATGTTCTACCAAGTTATTTACCTGTTGTTCCGCTGGTGAAACAGACTATGGCAAGATCTTCTGGCTTGGGAGGCTGAAATAAGATAACAATTGAGTCCAAAATGGGTTCAAGCTTTTAAAATCACACATGGTAGTAAATAGACCTCATTGGTTGAGTAAAATAAAGGATGAGTACTTACAACTGGTCTGCTGAAGTTGTGTTTTCCTAGCATCTGTAGGAAAACAAGCAAGAGCAATTAAGCAGTGTCACTAAGAATGGGGCAGTTGTGGTGGACAACTATTACAGGGTAGCTCAAGAAGTAGATGTTCTGAAGTGGTTTGGGGGGGGAGTATGAAGTGATGGTCTGGATGTAAATTGAGATTAATCTAGATAGACAAGAGCCATTTGCAGCATTTATGATTGCATAAAGAAATCCCAACAATAGCTATGCAGCTATAGCACTTTACATATTAAGACAAGGCTTGAGAATGGGCAGAGGGAGAGAGAGCATGTATTTAGCTGAAAATTCATCTTTTAATTCCCTCAAGATGAAGGGGTGTGTTAAAAAAAACAAATCTGCACACACACACACACATCTCCCAACTTTTGTCTGTCCTAAGACCCCAGGACACAGAACAATCAATTTATGTTATGAACAATTCCACTGTTTTTTCTGTTTAAGTTTGGTGCCTGGTTTTTCAAGGTTTACAAAAATGTATTTAAAGAAAAAAGAATTCTACTCTGGAATGCTGTGCAATGTATGGGCGTAATAGATTATAGGAACTGCTATTTATTGATACACACTTATAGCAGTTTTTTTAAAAAAAAATGGCACAGAAAAGGCCAAGAATAGAAGGATCAGCATGAGTATTAAGGATAAAAAAATTGAAAGAGGACTGGAGACCACATTGGAAGTTGTGCAAGGCCAGAATCACTGGTGAAACTGAAATATGAATATTGTGGCAAAGATAACCTGCCGAACACATACACCGCTGTCCAGCCAAGCCACAGTCCCAAGAATTGTCAATGACCAAGTTCGCATGGCACATTAAACCAAGGATGGGGAGCCTTTTGCATCCCAAGGACCACAGACAAATGTAGGTAGCATATGAAATGTGTAATCTCACCCAGTTTATTCACTCACACACATACCTCTCAACCCAAGCAAGCAGGAAGTGGTGTTGGAGTTAAAGGACACATTCCATCCAGGCAAAAATATTCAGGGACAATGCAAAGCATGACTGGTACAGGGTGTTGCTAAGGACAGTTCTAAGAAAAGTCCTGAGGACTAGATGGAAAGGTCTGGATGGCCATATCTGGCCCCTGTGCCTGAGGTTTCCCATCACTGCATTGGACCATAGTTTATTTTGTACTATTGTTTAATATCAGCATGTTGGTGCACGCTACTTAGTCCCTGGTGTGCTTCTCCCCCTTTATCCTTTGGCATGCTGGGGAACAAACCAACCAAAGGTTCATTTCATGTTATTTGCCTACCAGCACTCATGGTTTGTTCCTCTCCAAACAAACTACATGTGGAAACAGAAGGGCAAGATACCAAGCAATTTGATGAGAATCTGCAGCTTTGGGAGGAATACTATGGCCATGCTTTAATATCCACCCAGTGAAGTTGCTCAACACTTTTCAGAAGATTCAGTTCCCACATGGAATGGGAGATTGAGTAAATTTACTCAAAGGGATACTATTTAAGCATGTACTCAAAGCCAAATCCCAAAAGATGTCACAATGATGAACATACATACTTGCAGTTTCTAGAAGGTTTAACCCAGGCTTCCTCAACCTCAGACATCCACATGTTTTGAGACTACAATTCCCATCATCCCTGACCACTGGTGCTGCTAGCTAGGGATCATAGGAGTTGTAGGCCAAAAACATCTGGAGGGCCGAGGTTGAGGAAGCCTGTTTTAACCTCTCTCAAGAGTAGACTTGTCAAGCAAAAGGGACCCTGTACCTCAATTTCTTGTAATGAAAAGATTTCAACTCCCAGGGAAGCTCCTTTTTCCTTTAATGTGCCATCAAAAGGATCCATCAGAATTATCATCTTCAGTCCTGGTGTCTTCTTTTGTTCACAGTTCTCAAGTATCACTTGTGCTTTCTCGGGTTTGTCACATATCACTGTAGCAATGTCAGCTAAAGGAACACACATAACACTTGACAACCTCCATCATTGGACTCAGGTTACGCAGAACACACAAGCAGCACCAGCTTGCTGAAGCAGACATCTCCACATACCCATGTCATGTGGCAATCATTTAAGAAGTGGAAAGCGGAAATAATGCATTGAGCGCAAGCACTCTGTGTGCCAGAAGCTTCTGGGAGCTGCAAGAAATGATAGCCTAATTGCAAGCCACACCTGGTGCTATCAAGACACAGACACTTAAATTTACTGTGAGGAGTATAGGCCTCTTAATTGGGCTTTAGAGCCTGTTAAGTATACTACACCATTATTATTATTCCTGCCACTCGTACTAGCTTGTAAAAACACTTTGAGCAAGCATGTTGCATGCAAATGCCAAATGTCTCTTTAACCCAAACAGTTGCTTTGGGAGGGAGCATTTGGGTATTCTAGGAGAATTTAGGGCATTTACTCCTTTATCCATCATGTATGTTTGAAAGCAAGCTTTTGTCTACAGGTTTCATGATCTACAACACCATGCATTTCACTGAAAGGAAAGAGCTGTTGTGGGGGGAAAGTAAAGGGAAACATCTTCCACTGTTGTTTCCGACTAAGGTCAAGCAACTTAATTACCGGTAAGTAAGGCTACCATTGCATGGTTTGTGTAGCTTGGATCATAGCTGCTATAATTGGAAGTCATGCTATACTAATGGAGTACAATTAAATGAACAACCAACTTGTCCAGACTAGTACAAAAAGTCCACTACTATTCTGCTACCCAAGAGACATAACTTCTCGGAGAATTAATCTCAACAAGGTTTCCTGTTAGGATTTTAAACTTGTGGGTTTCTCTCCTATGAAAAGCATTGGGTGCTTTATAACAATTGCAGTAAAAACACTGGCTAGCTGTATTTCATTCCATTTGTGATTTTAACACTGAAAGAGATTTTATCTCCAGACATTTCCAAGAGTTTCATTCAAAGAAGCTGCAGCTCTTTGCATTCAAAAAGTTGGTTTCAAAGAAGTGAGCAAAATAAACTTTGAGGAAGTTCAAAGCTTAGTAACTGAAATACCAGCAATGGAGTGTATGATCCTCACCTGTATTTTTGTGTGTGTGTGTCTGCAAATTGAGTTTAATGGCCACTATTTTCATTTCAATAATGCCTTTTTTCGTCTAGGCTAGCATAAGTGTAACTATAGAAGGGGGCGTGTCTTCTATTTTAGCATTTTGAAGCCAAGATGAGACTAGCTGCAAGCAATTGCATTGTTTCATTTCTTTACAGAAATAAATACCCTGTTACCACCCTTGCGTAGCCTTCTGAAGACAGATTATGTTCAACACTGTCACAAGTATCTTGCTAAGAGGCAAACTCTGACTATTTGTCAAACAGCCTGAAGAAGTTTTGCAAAGGCAGGCTCAGAAAACCCCACCTCAAGAAGGAGCAGAACCAAAAATCTGATCAGGGACTTAAGTTGGTTGAGAAATGCTTTGCTCCTCTACTTAAGCAAGGTCTTTGTCTCATGGGAATTCCAGGGCTTTTTGCAGTCAAAGATCCAGCATACCGACAGCTGTACTGACATAACAGAGCTTCAGCTACTAAAGCTCTTTCATTTGGCTCTATTCAAAGCAACATTGTTATGTCACATTGAACAGGACTGGAATTACAGAGGAGGAGGAGGAGGAGGAGAGGTCAGTTCCATTAATGACACAGGGTTACCTGCTCCCCCATCCTCAGATTTTACACCTGTCTTTTACTTACCCCTCTCCAGACTAACGAAGCAGGGGATAATTTTTCTGAGTCATTTCCACCTTTTAAGAAGAATTTGGGTCATATTAACTCAAATAGGAGGGGAATTCTTGGAACTTTTGTCCCTCTATTTGAGGACCAAATTTCACTTTATAGTAGTCACTTGTCAGGAAAATAATGCCACGCCCCCAATATATAGAAAGAGTAGAAGAATGTATTTAATGGCCAGAGAAAACAGCTTACCTTTGTTAATAACGTACACAATTGCATCAGGTCCCAGAGTGTCATAAAGGGGAACTGCAACCATTGAGTAAGTGTAGCAGGCAAGCTCAGAGATCACCCACTACAGGAGAAAAGAACGGAAAAACACATAAGCATTGTGTGGAAATATATAAAACAGCATGTTTAAGGATCAGGTATATTCTAGTAATCCTCCCATTAGAGCTTCAGGTGTTAATTGTGTTGATCTTGTGAACTTGCAGGCTTGCACCTGGCAGGAACTATATATGACACATCTATTCCAAAGAGCACGATTAGTCAAGGAAGCTTGATTTTATCAGCCAAACTGCAGAAGCAATTGTGGTAGATACGCAAGCCACTGTGCAAATTGGGGGAGGGGGGGACACTCATTAGGAAATTGTGAACACATCACGTATTCATTCCAGCAAGACAGGCAACATGCCAAAGCTGCTCCCAGCACCAGACCAGAACATGGATACAACATGAACAGGCAGCAGGTCCATTCACTTCTTCTTCTGCTTCCAAACATTAATATCAAAACAATGTACAAATTTAGGAATGGTTTTACCAGAATACTATGGTCAACTAGGATTCTCACAAGTTACCTCTGGTCTATTCTGAGCAAAGATGCCAATGAACTGATCCCCTGAGGGTTTACATCCTTTGTGTAGAAGACCTGATCCCAGGTGTTCAGCTCTGTCCAGCACCTAGAAATATCAAAGATAGTTAACTTGACATTATTGGCAAGGGATTTAGGTCAATTTTCCAGTTGGTGTTTTAACCAACCTGTTGGTAAGACAGCCACTGAAAAGGTTTCTTTGGTTTTCTGTATCCTAAGCAAGGGCCATTTTCTGCAAGAAAAAAAAATGAGATTATGAATATGCCAGCATAGTAGAAGGGTCTTCAAGTGAACCGAAGGATACCGAACAAGAATCCACAGCTTTTAGGCATCCCTGATTTGCTGACATCGTCAGACGGATTTGTTGCCTAGATGCTAAATTGTGTCTTTAATTTGCAAGATCTTGAGCAACTGAACACTTTTCTGCATTAGAGGACTCTAGACAGCTTTGTGCAGAAATGCATTCCCATTCATTGTATTAACCTTCCTTTAATATTAGATGTGGTTTACAGTTTAAAAATAATAATACTTGAACAGAAAATCAAGCAAATTTCAAGAAACATTAGAATGCCTTCTTACGGGAAAGTTTGAAATACTTTTCTTATACAGCATTCACATATTACTGTGATATGTAGATCCCCCTCATCAAAATAGCATCAGAAGCTGGCCAAGGACCAAAGCACATGTGATGCAAGAGATTCACACTGCATCTCTTATTTGGGCAACATAGGTTCTTGGGCTCCAAGTCTGAAACTGGTCAGTGCAGCAGTGTTGGCAGTAGAATTATGCAAATACAAGACACTATACCCATCTATCTTCCTTTCTTACAACAGGTCAAAACAAGGGGTGCTGGGAAGTTCAGATCAATAACTGGTAGTGGTTGCTGCTCTGACAAAGTTTGGATGCCTTACACTGGCTTCTTTTTCTTAAAGAAGTGTTCTCTTCTTAATTCAGGATATCAAAGTCATTGATCTACCACATTAATATGGTTTGGCCTCAAGCATTATGCTCCAACCTCATGAAAATGAAAGTCAGACTTTCTATTTCACACCATTCGTTTCCACACCCAATTATAAGGAGCCCTGCAAACATTTGTGGTGTTAGAGGATTTGTTTTTATATTCAAGTCATCTCTAAAGCAAGCCAGCCATTTCTGAAGAATATCCTCAGTAGGCAATCACTGTGGGTAGAAAAGGATGCTCCTCTCAAGGACCAGAAACACACAGAAAGACTGCCATGAATCCACATTCACATATGGAAAGTCCAGTGTTATTTTTCTAGAAAAAGAAGTGGTGGAACTCACCACCACCTATCTCCCTTGTTCTTTTATAATGGCAATGACACTCACTTGAGTGGTACCAGAACTGAGTTCCTGCAAGTTCCCCTGGAAAGCCCTGGAAAAGCCTCTGCAAAGAATCATTCTGTTAGCTTTTCCCTACTCAGCTTCATTAGCTTCATCAGGGGAGAAGTACTATGGCAACACCCTCTCCATCCAAAACTGTGGTTTGAACAAGCAATGCTAAAACAGGCCATCCAAGTTGTCCCAGTGAATTCCCTACTCACCTGAGACGTATCGTCCTCTTCTGAAACTTTCATATAAGGTCCGTGCATCCTCGTGGTAATAAGAAAGAAGCTTGCCATCAGGCATAAGAGCACTTCTTCTAGCTCCTCCCTACATTCAGAAATTATTCAGGTTAGTTGGCAATGTGGATGATGCACCACAAGGCCCCACTCCCCACATTAGACTTAACTCAGATTAAGACTACCCAAGGTTCTTCTCCCCACAATCTGTACATAGGATAAATGTCTACACCAGTTGGGGGGGGGACCAGCAATGCATTTAATGATGCATGAACCCCTAAACCACCACCACAAGTAATAATAATTAATGGACACCTGTATACCTGAAGGAGCGTCTCCACCCCCATCATTCAGCCCGGACACAGAGATCCAGCACCGAGGGCCTTCTGGCGGTTCCCTCATTGCAAGGAGTGAGGTTACAGGGAACCAGACAGAGGGCCTTCTCGGTAGTGGCACCCGCCCTGTGGAACACCCTCCCTTCAGATGTGAAGGAAATAGGTAGCTATCCTATCTTTAAATGACATCTGCAGGCAGCCCTGTTCAGGGAAGTTTTTAATATTTAACGCTGTATTGTTTTTAATACTTGATTGGGAGCCGCCCAGAGTGGCTGGGGAAACTCAGCCAGATGGGCAGGGTATAAATAATAAATTATTATTATTATTATTATTATTATTATTATTATTATTATTATTATTATGGACACAGACTTTCCATGTTCCCTAGATCCGAGCCATGCCTTAAGGCCTAGAGAAGTCTCCGCCTGCAATAGTCCTCTCCTAGATCTCCCTTTTCGCTTCTAGATGTTTCCTGCCTCCCATCACCTTAAAGTAAACTTAGGAAACCAGCAGCAGTGAAGCTAGTTCAGTTTCAGAGGCAGGGGGAGAGTAAACTTGCCTTATTAACTGGCATGGGCTTCCTAGACCATGGGTTTCCAACTCTCCTCCTCCCATTGTGAAATTGATACTATCCCTATAGCACGTTTCATAGTGCCCAGCAAATGATTTAAGAGCCACTGTTATAGCATTTAAGTCAAGCAAGTATGGAAGCGCCAGTGCACTTCCTCTTCATCCATCTCAGGCCATTAGGGTAGCTATCAGATCTCCTTCAGAGGCCATCTGTTTCTAAGACAGTAGTAATTAGATGTCAACAAGATCTGTAGCCATTTCATTTGGCTGTCCTCATGAATTGAGCACCATTTCCTCAAGAATTTGTTTGTTGACTCCATGTTAAGTGAGATGGTGCATGACCCACAAAGATGCTTTGTAGGCACACATACAGAAGCTGTTGTACTGATGGTCAACCAATGACTGCAGCAGATTCCAGTTGACTGGTTAGCTGTGTCCCAACCAAGCAGCCTTTGGAGAGAACAATTAACCTGACAAGTCTGTTCACCTATTTATCTGGTGTACAGCATTGCAGCCAGTCAGCCGAGCTTCAACAGTTTTCCGGCATAGGGGGAGGTATGCTGCCTCCCCCCCCCCCCGCGTCATTTGTGCTGGGGACAGCCCCAGCCAATCTGCAGCCAGGTTGGGTATGGCTGTGGGCTATTTAATTTTGGCATGGCCGGCCGGCTCCCTCTTCCTTGCCTCTTCTCCTGGAAACTTTGTTACTTGGGTGCTTTGGCATGCAACGGAATCTAACATTTACAGGCATCAAGGAAATTGTGCAGCTGCTGCTCTCTATTTAGATCTAAACTCTTCTTGATCCCAGGTATGTTTCTGGGGGTAAGTGTGTCAGTTTTCCCTGTAATGTTCATGGCTAGCACTCAAGTAGAATCCCAGAACAAAATAAGAATGCAGATGAGCACAGTAGCATCAGCATACATGCCAACAATATCGGCTGTTGGAGAATGTAGATTCCCACCGTCCCCTATCTACCACACAATACTCACCGAGAAAGGTCATAAATCTCAAGCAGTTTCCATAGCAAGTCAAGTACATTTCACACAACAGCATCCAATGAAGGGTAAGCTAAGCAATTCATACATTTCATCTAGCCCATTCATCTGCCAACAGCGGCTGATGGCCGCTTTTTCTTTTCTTTTACCTCAGTGCCAACCGACTGCTTCTTCAAGTCAACGGGAGCCGCAATTGGTTTTGGTTTGGTTATCAGCCATAGGAAGACTGTTGTTCCGAAAGTAACAAGACCAATCAAAGCAGGAGTCGGGAGTGGTGAAAACAAGAACTGAAGTATCCAAATCATCCTGTTGGATCAGTGCAGACAAAGTGGTGAAGCCTAAAGCAAGAGGCACACAGCAATTAGAACACCATTAACTTTTCATACATAGCTTAATAAAGGTGTTATCCAGTAGCATGACAACGAAATGTTCCCAAGATAGTTATTATTATCCAAGGCTTAATTTAAACTGAAGGCAACCAATCCAGAGTCTATAGAGCTCATTTCCAAGTACACATAAGTAGCTCAGTGGTGCACCATCTGCTTTGAATATTTAATCCTACCATTGGCAGTTCAAAGAATTAGATGATGCCAAAGTCTCCTACCCTGGAGATCCACTGTCTGTCAGAGCATGCAGTACTTGTCTAGAGGGACCAATGGTCTTGCCTACAAGGCAACTTCATATGTTCATGTAACTTATGTTTCCTTGTATGGTTTGTTCCCCACTTCCACAGCCCCTGCCCCAGAGACGGGCAGTTGTCATTCTGGGCACATACACTATTGGAAAGCTTAGCGAGAAAATTAGTTTAAAGAGTTCCCAGCTCCAAGACAACTCCATCAAACATTGAGAAGGACTTTGCTGGCACTTTCAAGAGATATGGAAGGAGACTCTGCACTTTCACAAATTGCGTAACATACTACAGCTACTGACTTTTGCCCTTGGATGTGTGGTTTGCTGACTTCTAAGTGTATTCAAGAGTTGCTCATACAGGAAGCCCTTTTCACCCATTTATCAAGAGAGGTCATTATACCATGAACTATGCTAAAGTTTACACAACGATGAAGTGAGCTGACTACATCTGTTTATCACTGAAGTCTTGCATCTGACCCAAGTACAATTCCATTCCTTGTATCTAACCAAATACCAATGCACCTCTAAGCTCACACTATATCTCCCCCAACAACACAAAAGCAGATTTACAAAGTAACTGCTGCTAAACAAATGACTGCCCCATACTTTGATATCTTATTGATATCGACTGGGGACAATAGATCAGGATTTGTTGGTAGATCTATGGATGATTTGCAGTTGATTGTCAAGGGCTATTCAGCAACAGCAAAAAAACAACTCCCTTCCTGCTCTAAATTACATTACTGAAAAGAAGAAAGCTTGGAGAAAACAGGAAAGGGGGTTGTATGTAGAAGGACTGTTGTCTCCGTTCATTTGTGGTACTGAAAACAAATTCCTGGGCTCAGAATTATTTAAATCTAAGTTCTAGTTCTAGTTTATAAGTTTATTTTTCTAACCAAAGGCCATAACAAGTTTAACGAATTTGTAACAATAGTATTGATAAAACAGAATATCCATCCATAATATAAGGCAATATCCATGATGTGTGTGAGAGAAAATACCAAACACCAACAAGCTTAAACCTAACTATTTCAAATTAAACCTCCAAATCACCATAACAACATAGTGATTTTATGGAACTCATTTCTTCCTGATTTTTCTTGCATAGAGGGTCTAAATCTAATTGAGTGTATGTGTCATTTGCACCGGGTCTGGCGGGTGCATTTTGCAAGTGTGAATCTGGCCATTCTAGATTTAGCTCAGCTATGAAGATAAATTAGAAGTTTGCTTTGTTTACAGAATAGTCCTAGATCAAAAGGACTTTATCTTTTGAGTTCAGGAACATCCATATAATCATAGCTTTCATTTTTTATCTGAACTGAACGAGACAGGTTTTAGAAGTAGTAGAGGTATAGAGACAATGGGCTATATACAGGTGACTCTCAACTTACGTGAGGGATACATTCCGGGGATAGCACAAAATCAAAATTGTGTATAGTCAAAACACATTGGATACCATGGCAGGTGGAATTGCCAAAGTCTTTCTCTCTCCCCCCCCCCCCCATGGCCTTTCCACTCTCATTTTATTTTTTTTGAAAATCCTAGCTTGTAAAGCTGAATGCACACAAGTTAAATGTGCGTAAGTTGAGAGTTACCTGTATTACTAATGTTTTAAAACAAAATCTACCCTGCCTAATTTTCCAGAAGTACCCAGGGTGGCTAACAAATGCGATAAAGGATAAAGCACAAGTAACTACCCCCGATTAAACCCCATCATAAAATCAAAATATAAGTATGAAAACTACAACAAATATCACAGTGTTCAGAACTGCAGGATGGCCATCAACATACTTGGCTATGTCAGCAAATGATAGTTCAATGAATGAACATTTATTATCTATATACCGCCCATCTGACCGGGTTGCCACTCGGGCGGCTTCCAACAAATTAAAACATTAAGCACAGTAAAACATCAAGTATTAAAAACTTCCCTATACAGTAGTCAGGTCTTTACCAACTACCTGTAGCAATACAACAAAAGGGCTCTGAGGCACTTGACTCAACAATTTGGCATTAATTATGATTCTTTATTCAATGCCCATACCCGCCTTCATCCAAAGTTCAGAGGGCAGTTTACAATTCATTCCACAAAGTGTCTGCCATGGCGGATATCACCCTCATCCTGGCTGATAGCAGCCTTGTCAGGGCAAGGGATTTGGAGCAGAGCCTCTGATGATCAGAGGACATTGGGGGGGGGGGTATACAGAGAAGGGCCTTTAAGTATTTATTAAGAGATTCCCGCCCAAGAGTCCTTTAAAGGTAGGAGGGTCTACCATAACATCCCTCCATCCCATTTCCTATGCTACTAACTGCATCCATCCCTGGGAAGGCCAGGGAAGCAGGCAGTTATCACTGTCCCCAACCACTGCTTGAGCGACCACTGCTGCTGCTGGAAGAGTAAGGAGACAGATTATTACCCAGCTGCCCAAGAAGAAGACACATTTGGCTGCTATCTGAAATGGGTTGCCAAGTTGGGCACAATAGCAGAGGGGCTACTTTCCCCTGTCGCCATTGCGGAACCCTAGAAGACCAGCAGTTGGAGCAGCCAACAGTAACATCTGCAGCCTAGAGTGGACAGTTAACGCATCATCTTCCAAGGATGCTGGGAGGAGGCAGGAGCGACAGCCTATCCAGCTACTCCAAATGAACTGCTCTACATCCATGGGGGCTTGTTCTCTTCCATGTAGCTTTATCTTGTTAAACAATCTATGGCCTTTTAAACTGTGATGGGGGTATTGTTTTGGTTTATTATTCTGGTATTGCATTGTTGTGCTTTAATAATGTAAAGCACTCTGTGAGCTTCAAGCGGAGGGCAGTTTTGAAATTTAATAAACAGCAACAATAAAATGGGAACACTTTAAAAAAGAGAAAAGATGGCTGAAATATATTGCTCTTTCAAGAAAAGAAGTGCTACCTTAAAAAAACAACCCAAAACCTTGTGTGTTAATTTTCATTTTGGAGGCTGCCTTAGCTGTTATTAGGCAGAATGATATGAAAAATCTTGTTCACACTCAACACATCTGATTAAAGCAGCCTTTGACAGCCTGGTACCCTCCAAGTGCTTTAGACTAGAACTCCAATCAACCCCAGCCAGAACGACTATGCTGGGTGGGGCTGTGGGGAGCAGGGTAGGGTAGGGTAGGGGTGGTGTGTGTGTGTGTGTGTGTGTGTGTGTGTGTGTGTGTGTGTTGCAGTAGAGCATGATCCTCAAACCTGGTGCTCTCCAAATGTTTTGGACTATGTGGAGGGCAAACTTAATAAAACTCTACTCCATGGGTAGGCAAACTAAGTCCCAGGGGCTGAATCCGGCCCAATCGCCTTCTAAATCTGGCCCACGGACGGTCCGGGAATCAGCATGTTTTTACATGAGTAGAATGTCCTTTTATTTAAAATGCATCTCTGGATTATTTGTGGGGCATAGGAATTCATGCATTCATTTATTTTTCAAAATATAGCCCAGCCCCTCACAAGGTCTGAGGGACAGTGGACCAGCCCCCTGCTGAAAAAGTCTGCTGACCCCTGATGATCTAAGCAGACAGGTCTCTGACTCTTGCCTCCCAAATCCCATAACACCTGTGTATTATGTAAAAAGTATCTCATACATTACTATTCCAGTTGTTGCATAATGAAGAGGAACTTATTAAAGTTGTTGCTGGTTATTAGAGCATTGCTTAGTTGGCCAATTATTCAGTTCTGGTCATTTTTATACTGGGCTGAACACATTGCTGTGTGTTTGTAAGTTGCCTAGCAAGGACCTTGTCCTATAAACACAGCCTAAATATGTAAACAAATAGACAAGTATATTATTCAATCTACATCCGGTAACTCCTGCAGCCAAGCTGGTGCCAAGTGTATTCCTCTGCTTTCCTTTGGACCACATTAGTGAGGCTGAGAGGGGGGGACTTGTTGTCTAGGCAGCCCAGACCCTCCATACACATTGTCCAAAAGTGCACCCCACAGAGGTCACTTCAGTGCTGCTAACACAGCAAAAAGCAACACAGGCACTGAGATTGTTCAGCCCAGGAGGCACAGTCCATTGTCTCAAGACAGATGGATAACAACTATATTCAGTAATCTATTAATCCAGCTTTTGCTATTCTTCCCATGCTTCCTGTCCCTACCTATATGGAGAACAGTCTTGTATGGATTGAAATGCTCTCTTTAGTAAACTATTATTTAATGAAAAAACCCTGTCTGTTTAAAATTGAGTTAAGGTTCTCTTGTGATGGCTCAAACGCTACAAAGCCAAGAAACTAGATGCCAAAGATTATGCCTTAACAAGTATGTCATGACATTTTGCAGCAGCACAAATTATGCTTGCTTGCAACATGCACCCACACTTTTCCTTGATCTTTCTGGCACAAATCCTGATGGGAGGAATGAATTATTTGGGATGAGCAAAGTTGCCCCACATTGTCCTGGTCCAGTATTGTCTTACGGAGCATCTGAACACTGCTGTGTTGCCAGAGAAATCATCCTGCAAATTGACCCATGCCTCTTTCTTGCTTACATCAGTATCTGGTAGGTTGGGCTAAACAAAGAGATGGGGATCGTCTCCGATTCAGCGGGGCAAGAATAACACTCCTGGTGTGTGTGAGAATAGGGTTGTGAGGTGTGGAGTAGGAATTGCAGTGAAGAGCAGGGGATATGCGTGGTTGTGGGTGTGCTCCCCCACTAAACATTTTCAAGTTTCCAAACATGCTCATGG